ATTAGAGAATACAATGAGTCAAAATATTAATGGGGGGCTGGTGATAGATTTATTCAGGATGAGTAATAACAATTGAGTTTTTGGGTTTCTTTTTTTTTTTTAATGCAGGAACTCAGACTTTAGCAGGTGAGCAGATTAGGGGCCTTGACGATAGCACAGGGTAGTCTGAGTCTGGCTGGTGAAAGAAGTGAGAGGATTCCCAGACATCCCAGTATGAGCACCTCTTACCCCCTTACCCTTTCTTCTCTCTCTGGATGGCATTTTCTTCCTGCTACCCCAGGGTTCCATCTTTGTGCCCCAAGTCTTGCAGTGGAGAGAGTAAAGCTTCCATGAATGCCTGATACAGATAGAATTCCCCTGAAGGGATGCAGGCTTCATTTGTCTCCCAGTGGATTCGCATTTTAAAGGAGATTTATACTTGGAATTGCAGCTCTATCCGGAAAATTTATCTAGAAAAAGTTTTTGGTCAGCAGTCATTATCTTTTTTGACCCTGTCTTCCAAATTGAGCTTCAGCTCTCCACTGAGATAGCACAAGTAACTGCCTACATCCAATCTATTGGCTTCCTCAATTTGAAAATCCAAGAGAAAATAGGTTAGAGGGAGAAGATATTCCCTGTTCATTTCCTTAAGATCTTTTCTATATGAGCTCTTTAGAGCTGGATCAGGATAGAGTGGTTCTTGGTGGGTGCACGCTGTTCTTGCCCGTGACTAATGGACTACGGTGCTGCCAGGATTGGAATTATTCTCCAGACATTCCATGGTTGCATCACCTGCTTATTTTGATTAGTTTCCTTAATCCAGGACACTAGTTTCTGCCTCTTTGGCTCTTGCTATTAAATACATAGTGATCTCATTCTAATAGGATTCTAGTAAACTGATATACCCTGCTCACAGATTTCCGCTTGTGTCCCCTGAGTTTGGTGTCTGGTACATAGAGGTCCCTGAAACTGTTTTTGTGTGTTTGTAAGTTTGATAACTTGCCATTGTCTCACTTCATGTACTGACACCGATGGCATGTTCATCACCAGTCAGTCATGGACAGAGCGCATGAGATTCTGAGATAATTCTGTTGAGAAGTACATTCTCTTACAAAGAAATAATCCCTGAGAAACACGTAATGTAATGTAATATCATATTGTCCATATCGGCAAGAATAGTGCTGCTCTGTTCACTGTTTGAAGCACTTGGGCTCTCAACAGCAGAGCACAATGGCCAGCTCACAGGAGTTGACAACACGACAACACATTTACTTTGGTGCAGAGTAGTGAATATAATGCAGATTTTACTTTGTGATGAGAAGGCTGGCAGAAGGACAAGTTTAACTAAGTGTAATTTCTAAGAAGGCCAATTAAGTGGATTCAGCTGGCTCAACTCTTCAACCCAGCGTGTTGTCATATGCCAAATTATGCAGCAGCTGGTCCATTATAAATAATTTAAAAGATAACGTGCAAAAATTTTGGTTGTCTGTTTTCTCCCCTGCCCCACCAAATTTCTTTGTACTCTTCCCTCTCCTTCCTTCCCCCCCTCTCTGTCCATCTCCTTCTGTTGTCCTTCCCTGCCTGCCTCTCTCTCCCCTCCTTCTCTCCCTGTACCCCACTCCCTTTTTCTCTCTTTCCCTCTCTGCTTTCTATTTCTCTCTCCCTCCCTCTCCCTCAATCTCTCCTTTTCTCCCTCTTGTCCTCCCTCCCTCTCTCTTCCCCCCACTCTCCCCCACTTCCCATTTCTAGGTTTACCTCCATGTAACTTACCAATTACAACAATAATTGGGGTGGAGGATGGGATAGTGTTGGGAAGAGAAAATGTGCTAATTCGCCTTACAAGAAAAACAAAGAACATTCTTTAAGAGAATAGTTTTACATGACAGAAGGAAGTGACAGAACTTGGAAGGATTTCTAACATGGTAGGATTTATGTATGTCACAGTAACGAAGCCTACAGAAAATAGTAATTATGAAACTAAATTGATTTATTAGTAATAATTTGCCTGGCAAATTTTGTAGAGTCCTTGAGGTAAATGAACTCGGTATTTCTAATTCTACATGGACTCATGTAGCTGGCAGCAGGATGGCCGTGCATGTAAGACAGGTATATTGATGTATTTTCATGCCTCATTTGCTATAGAATTGGGTTTTCCATTTCCCAGAGGTGACTAATCAGAGGTAGCTTTCTGGTTTGGGCACAGAGATTGATTATGTATTTTGTTAC